AAAGTTCTCAAGAAGTGCATGAACAAATTCGATTGTCTTGTCAACGAGATGCTTTACATCAAACAATTAACACCGAGTTTGAACGTGCAAACGGATTCTATCCGTGCTAAGGTATTTGTGTAGCTACCTCCCCTATGCAAATTAGTTGTAAATCTTGAACTCGCATTTGTTAATTTTATTTTCATTTGTACCCTTGATAATGGCGTCATGAAGTCGCCGAAACGTCAGGATATTATATCGTTCATTTTTACCTGTCTATGTATTACTAAATCTTTGTTAATATGTAGGTTAGGTTAGTGATATTTTTCTTAAAAAGAGAATAGTAACTTGTAAGATGTTAGACTCTGGGTTGTATTAAGTTACTCAGTAACAAGAAGCCTCATGATTTATCGAATAACCTGTGATTTAAAGTATAAATTGACTTACTCATGTTTGTTTGGTTGGTGGATGCGCTATTCCTCTCCATGGAAGACAATGCCTGAGACAGAAAATTTCATAACCTTCACAATTGTGTACCATATTAGCAAATAATAAGTTTCAAATGTAAATAAAAGTATGCATTTAAGGGAACTTTATGACTTTTGACATTAGGCGTTGAATTTTTACTGTGAACATTTGATTTCCTATTCATCAGTGTGCATCTAACACAAGTGCTTCGTAAACAGCAAAAGTTGTATCCGAAGCTTTCCCGCCATGGTTTCACATTATATGTGGGTTTTACTTTTGACTTGTTTAACCCTTGTAGTGTGGTGAGCTACCGACCGGTGTTAATAGTATCTGTATGCCTCGCTTTCTGCTCCCAATGTAAAGCTGAATACCTCGCTGGGGTAACAGAATGTTTGGCCATACAAAATTTCATTTAGTCTGTTATGCTTTGAAAAAATTACGGTTATGGAACATACAATCCATCTTGGGGCTCTTTTGAAAATAACTGGAAGTTATTCTCCATCGTCATAGGGAAAATTAGCACTAACCAGTCGGTCAAATCATGAATTAAGCCATTCTCAGTTAAGTTATTCTCGCAAAACATGACGTTATCGACATTGCCGATCCTAGCAATATTTAGTACGCATGTCATATATGAACTTTGTAATGAATCGTGTTCATCATGGAGTCTCTGTGGCTCAGTGGTAGAGTATCGAAGCGCGGAATCGATGGTCTGAGGTTCGATTCTTCATGGAGACTCATGGAAAAATCTTTCTCTATGAATTAAGTTATTGAAATATACTCTTAAAGTTAAAGAAAAGTTCAACAAGGCAAAGATATGGCGAGGGTTTTTGTTCATCACATAACAATACGCACACTCTACAGGTTGGCTTAAGAGTTCCGAGTGGAACCGCATGATAGGGGTATTTTGACACTGACCTGTATCCAAGTGTGCTGAAGGCGCAGATCAGGACCTTTAGCATTTTCACAACAGAAGGGGCGACATTTTAGGGCAACATAATGGGCACAGTCATCATTGTCGCATCCCCTTTTTTCATGCCGAAAGCAATTCTTAGTCTCGGGATTTACTTTTCCTGGACACCGGTTACATTTACCAGAGAACATCCAGGAAACTTCGTGCATCCAGTGACACTCATTTTTCAGAGTCGTCAGAGTCTTCTCGAGAAATCTGTACGAGAAAGTCACATGTTGTAAATGAAATGGTTGCAATGTACTCAAATTAGTCTCTTAACTTATTTTCAATGAGAACGTGTTTTGTGAAGAGACAAAAGTAAGAAATAAATTAGCAGTTAAATGAAAGTTTGAAAAATGGAAGGAAAAATGTATGTGCCAGGTCCAGAAATAAAGAAATCGAGAGAATTATGTCGTTTTTACGATATCAGAAGTTAGAAAAGACTATCCAATCATTTTGGCTTGTTATCAACTCTTTGTGTGACAACAGCTGGTCTATGGACATAATAGGGACATAATATACTGCCTATGTGAGAATCGAAATGAACCAAACTTTAGACTTTCCAGGTTACTTGATTGTAAATTTACCAATACTCAGAATTTATTCAGGCAAAGATCTTTAAACCGACGTATATAGATCCCTTCCGATCTGAAAGTAAAAGAATTAGCTCAAAGTTACATTTCAGTTTACCTGAAGGCTTCCTCGCAGAGTGCACGTGTTAGATTACTTTTTACCGGATTGGAAGAGTCCATCGACCAAATGTGTACCTTTATGACACTTTTGTGGCACACAAGCCCCAGACAGGTACATTCTCCAATAATAAGTCGGGCCGCATTGGAAAAGAACTGTTGCTGGTCACAACTGGTTTTTGCTGCAGCCCACTTACCAAGGAGGACAAGAATTCTACAGAAGAGCCCAGCAGGAACATAACTGGTGTCAAATGTGATGTACGCAGGAGCATATCCTTCATATTCTGGACCAATCAGATCTTCTTCTCGCGTTTTGGTCAACATGCATGGGACCAAGAAAGCGGGCTTGTCATCTCTGCTGTCGAGTTTACAAAGGAGGTTAAACTTTTCCATCGTAAATAACAAGGATTCTTTAATGTCAGACAGTTTCTGGGCGCTAAACGCATGGTCGAGTAGTTCTTCATGAAAAAGACCTTTTGCTTGAAGAACTTGTCGGAGTGCAAAAATAGACATGTTTTCATCCTGGTGGGTTTTGGCAGAGACTATTTTACAGAGCACATCAATTAGCCATCGTGGATCAAGCACAATCAACCCATCGGGATCCTCGGCCTGGACATGGTACACGATAGTGCCGCGATCATGAAGGAAGTTCAAAAGGTGTTCATAGTCGTCTTCCATTTCAAACTGACAGATTTTGTCGACTATGTCCGACCTAAACTTTTTCCTTGTTTTGTAATTTTCACCTTTCTCGGCCTCGTCATATACTCTGTCTTCGACTTGGAGCCATTTCAGAGGAATTTTTTCTTTCGTCTGATCTAATTCTTCAGCATTCTTTACTACTTCCTCGCGCAGTTTGGTAATTCGCGTATCTTCTTCTATTTCAGCTTTGGTGCTATCAACAATCAAGGTTGCTGCAATGTGTTGGATGAAAACTTTCGAATGATGGTAGAGGAAACATTTTAAATCGTGAAGTTTCTGTTCAGGGTTGTCTACTTCGTCAACGTGTGTTCCAACAAGAATCACGGGTGGGAATTTGTTTGAGCGTCCTAGGGAGTGTACCAAGTCCATCCACCTCATGATATGATCAAAGTTCGTATCATTACAATCGGGAGCGGGAACAGAAGCCTCTGGGTGACCTTCTTCTTGAACTTGACACTGGGCTGGAGCGAAAGGAGTTTTCGAGAGATCAACCATCAACAGATAAATTGCCCGGGATGACATAAAGATAGGATGGATGGCACGGTAAACAGCCTGACCCGCAAAATCCCAAATAATCGGCCAAATTCCTTGTTCACTAACAGAATCTTTTCTTTGTAGACGTTCGTACACAATGCCAGAAATATTTTTCCAAGACTCTCTCTCGAATTCCCTCGAGGAATGGTTGGGAGAAGGCCCTATTTGCCTTTCTTCGTCATACTTTTCCTGTGGTGCGGAGGACGTCTCGTGTTTCCACACCTAAGAGAAAAGACAGAAAAAAAAAACCCAAAACATTGAAAATGCAAAATAACAAAGCAAGTCTCTTCGCGCATGACTTATAAGAAAACGTTATGCCCCCGTGTTGTGAAGGGTCATTTTGAAGGAAAGGGAATGTAGACTAAGAATTGTTTTTTCAAAAGTGCGATAATAAAGTAAGGCAAAATATCTTTGCCTCCTTATTTTTTTTTTTACTATTATACAGAATCTTTGCTTAACATAAGGACAATTAGGCGTTTGCTTGTTGGATGGCCTTTTTCTTTGATTTCAAAGTCACGCTTAAGCGCACGGGAGTTTAAGAGAATTCTCTAAATTGAGGCGAGCCCGAGACATTAAATGGTTAGCAAAAATCATGACAATTCTGCCGACCCCCTTGACTTTAGGTAATGTAAACTTAGAAATAGATAGTCAATATTTCCTGTAACAAACCTCTGGCTCTGATGCTGAGTTAAACTGGAGGTGCACAGAAAGATCTGAAATAAAAAAAAAAAACAGAACACACTTACCATCGTATACAGATACGTTTTCCACGCGCGTCACCGTACGTGTAATATGCATAATGATAATAATAATAGTTAAAGAGGCAACAAGGTATGCAGATGAGATGGGTCTCCAGTTGCAGCTGGAATAACCAAATCCAGCTTTCATAAAACGAGATAATGGAGAGGTGATAACAGCAGAGAAACTGAAGGTAGAGCTGAGAAGGGTTTTGGAAGAGAAGACATGGGGAACAGTACATGGGCAGAATTGGCAGGGGAAATTACTCTCTGCGAGGACAGAAGACGAGAGTCTTAACTTCAACGGATGTTACTGGTGGCTAAGCAGTTGGAAACAGTGCCGGGGTTGTTTGAACTCTATGAACAATTATTACCGACGAGGTTGTATGCCTGCCAGAAAACGCACACAGACACAACGGGTGAGGTGAGGTGCAGGTTATGTGGTAAGGCCCCTGAAAGTGTCGCTCATGTCCTGGCTGGTTGTACATACCTACGTGCATACATACGTACGTACATACGTACATACGTACGTACATACATACATACGTACGTACATACATACGTACGTACATACATACGTACGTACATACATACATACATAACTTTGAATCACAGTCAACTGACTACAAAAGACAAAGAAGTCGCGAACTCGATATCTCTTTTATTTAAACCCATTCAATGCTCTCAAGGCGCCTAAAATACTGCATTGAACATTCTTAACGAACGCTTTTCATCCCACTAATTTATTCGTGTTTTTCTCGTTGCCATGTTCCCACCAATAACGTAGCTCCATTTTCTGCCTTTAAAAGCACTCACAACCCACAATTTCTCTATTTGCTCTGTCAAAAACTCAGTCAAGCGTAAAATAATGCGATGTAGAGCAAAAAATGGTGCGATTCGTGAATAAATTGCACCAGTTCGAGCCAATCAGATTACAGGGACCACTAGTAATTTCAAAATAGATGTAATAAAGCGGTGAATTAACGGCGAAAGTTTTGGTTTGAAACATATGACACTCGATTTAGCCTTGAATTAACGGCAAAAGTTTTGGTTTTAATATATGGGACAGTCGATTTAACCGTGAATTAACGGCGAAATAAATTATGTCTTTGCAATAATCTCGCGACAAATTTAGTGTAATTAAGGGCGAAATATTTGGTTTGTATAATTATTACAAACGAAAAATTTCGCCATTGATTTACGGCTAAACTGCGGCTTTCTATGTAAATATTAAATTTAATTTTTTACTAAATTTGATCTATACTGAATGAATTTTTGACAAAAAATTGTTAATATACGTAAAGCATTTTATTGCAAAATTTTCACTTATTGGGAGCTCAGCTTTTTGGCTTGGCTAAATCTATATATTAGTTTGACGTAACTGCACGTCACCCCAACACATGTCTCGGTGCTCCTTAAAACCGCAAAGACCGAAGTGGATCGTGTTGTTGAATCAAATTGTTTTCAACAGAGCCCAAGGAGTCGACATTCCTAACAATTCTATATCATACAGTAGCTTTATTTCCTCCAGTCTGTGAAAGCAATTGAAGCGTTAGGTTTACTTCCTTTTCCTTTCTGTTTAAGATCCTTTTGTTTTGATTGTAAAGCTTTGCGTACCTTTTCAACCTCAGCGTCTTTCATAATGCTGAACCCGTAATTCTTCTTCTTTAAATATCGTTCAAAACTGGCCATCAAAGAACGCAAGGAGCTGGGTTGATAGTCTTCGTTGCTGTCTTTAAATTGTTCGACTGAATTAAAATCTCCAAACCTTGAAGCTATGCTTCTGGAGAAGCAGGAAACGTGGCAAACATTCACTTTCAATTACGTACTTCGCACGGCCGCTCCGAAAGGTGTGAAAAACCGATGCGATTTTTCTTAATCGTGCAAAAAATCGTATCAGGCTTCTGATTGGTCATACGATATTTTTCACGAGTGAAAAACATCGTATGACCAATGGGATTGCTTTTCTTCAAAGAGAGACGATTTTTATACGGTAAATTTGCACTAAGTAAATATATAATAAATACTCAGTACATATATAATAAATACTCGTACATTTGTCCTTAGAAATTATCTGTTCCTCGAAGCTCTCACTTTTACTTTTACCTTTCCTTTCTAGGTCAAGAAAGAGCGCAATCGGAAAAGAAAAAACTTAGCCCTAACACTAAAAATGTGGCTTGAGAGAAGAGACCTGGAAAAAAAATACCCATTTGGGAAAGTTTCTGATTTATAAGCATAATCCAGAAGAAGAGAGGGCAAATTAAGTCACTTGAAATACGTTACCTGGTTCTGTGTCAGGCCGTGTACTTACAGCAGATCGACCATCATCCTTAACTTTATCGCCAGGTTTTTGTGCTTGTTCAAGAGATAAGCTCGAGTTTGGAAATTTTCTTGACTTTGGTGTAGTCATTGATTCTTGATTTTTTCCAGTCAACAAATCACTACTTATTAACTCGGCACATTTGTGCTGGTAGGGCGTCGATTTGTTTGTCAACATGGAACTCTTCCATGGCAGAACACCAACATTTTTCAGGACCTCGTGCATCTCTACTCCATCTGTACTTGATTCTTTAGGGTCAAATTTCTCGCCTTTCAAGGCCTTTCCAACACTGGTCTTTCCGGCACGGTCCTGGCCAATCAGCATAACTTTGACACGTCTGTCAATTATTTCGCCGTCCTTTAAAGCTCTATGGTAAGCTGCTATAGCTTTTTCACCTCGAGCCAAAACATGATATGGAGTAATGTCCTCTGCCTCCCTGTTTCTTTGAAGACCACGCAAAGCAATCGAAATGGCCTGGTGAGTGTGAACTAGCTTATCATCACTCTCTGATATTTCTTCTTGTATTTCAGCTGCTTCGTATAGGTATTCCAGGGCTCTAAAAGAAACACAGCAGTAAAATAATAGTTCCCTTCACGTCTCTCCCTTCTAAGACATTAGTCAGCATTATAACGTGCGAGATTTAGAACATTCATCCGGAACGTGCGATTTCGTAGTCTCTTACAATTTCGGCCTCCAATTACTGTTTCTACAACTTTCTTTGATAGGACACATTAACAGTGTGCTAAATTGTGTTAGATTTTTAACCTACGTTTACAGAGAACGAGTTTCTGGAAAAAAAGATATTCGCAACTTGATGGCAAAAAAACTCTTGATAAAAGCTAGTTGTTTCATTATCGGTAAACCCAAACACAGTTGCAGTAGCGTTATTTTTAATATGGCGGTAAAAGCGGCAGAAATCAACTGATTTTGACTGAACATTCCGTAAAAGCTAGGCGGTTTTTTTCTTCTTTCACTATAGGTAAATATAATTTGATTTACTATAATTTCAGAGCTGAGCAAAGAGTTGGCAACAATCTGATTGGTCGAGCGGTTCCTTATGCCAGTATGACGCTATATAAGCCGCTCCACGCGGTTTATGTAAAAAAAGTTAAGCTAAAATGTTAATAAATGTTACTAAAATGTTATGTTTCTAGAAATTTCTCTGTTGTTCAGCTCTGAAATTATACTAAAACAATTATTCGCTTCAGGTTCCGTGAATATTGTCGAATAATACCCTCGACTTTGTCTCGGGGATTATTCGACGATATTCACCTCGCCTTCGGCGAATAATTTTTAAATATTCTGAATGTGCAGAAGTATTTTTCGTAGGTGTTTGTCGAGTATTCTATCGTTCTCAAGGAAAAACGGAAGCAGTTTTTTAACATGTAATTTGAGACCGGTTTTCGAAAAGGTCAAATTCATTGCACGTCGTAGTTTGAAACCTTTCAAAGATTCATATGGCCACTTTGATCTTTCTTCAACAGCTCTACCAAACGCACTCAAACGCGCTCTAAAGGTATAAATGTTTCATGCATTTTAAGCGCTAGTGTTTAAGACCCTTTTATGGAGCGAATAGGCCCATTGTTGCGTTTAGTGTGTTGCGTTACATAGGGTTACTACTGCAAGGACATTGATTATATGTATTCAATCGTGTCGTAAATCGACTTTACTAAGTGAAGGAAAATGAACTAATTGAAGTGTTGTGTGGTAAATCTTCTATCTTGATCATTGCATGAAGGACAGTTTAATAAGAGCAATGAAAAGAGTCACTCGATCCATGAAAACCTCACACACACACACACACACACACNNTGTTTTTCTCGTTGCCATGTTCCCACCAATAACGTAGCTCCATTTTCTGCCTTTAAAAGCACACACAACCCACAATTCCTCTATTCGCTCCGACGAAGGGCTAACGCTCGAAACGTCAGCTTTTGTAATCGTTACGGTGGCCAATTTACCATTTCAACTTTGTTGATATATCCAAATTATTTCGTTACCCCCACCGACGCAGCCCCAAACAGTTTCTTTAGAAACTATCAGCCTTTATTCTTTTTTTGACAGTTCGCGGGAAAAATGCGAAAGTTATTCAATAATTCTTTTTGTATTTCAGGACTCACTGGATTCCATCACAGCCGCGAGAAGTGCATCTCAATGAACTGACCGAGAACAGGTCTAGAAAATATTCTTTGTTGTTTTAGCAAGTCAGTTGGAAAACAATAAGATCGGTCGAGATGCGATAAAAAGGCTAGCAAGTAGACAACCTCAGCATTTTGCTGTACTAAGCACTTAACCACTTGCGAATCAAAACTCGGCAGTAGCCCGTATGTATGATCCACTTCTAGAAGCTTCAGCTTACTAATCTATCATAGAAAAGACTTAATTTGAGAACTTGATAATCTCGTTACAATGTTGTTGGACTGAGAGGAGTAAAGAAATTGCCAATCACTACCAGTTTTTCCAGTAAATTCGGGAAGTATAAATAAGAATATTCAAGTAGAAAAACGAAGTGATCGGGCAGTATTACTGTAAGTTACTGCTTTCATTTGAGATTGCAAAGACAGAGGCTATCGTCGTTGAGCCAGTCAAATGGAAAACGAGCGAAGTCTATAGTCATCAGATTCAAGTTCATCTCAAAAAAGGGATTTTCAAGTTTAATAGAGAAAAACTTCTTCAGTCTAAGTGCGGCATCGCCACATGACCCATTTCGCTCACTGGCAAATAACTGACATAAGTGCTGTAAATAAATATTATGTTGCAACGATTTTCACACGGCGCTTGAATTTGCTCCCATCTACTTCATTAATGTTTGTGTTTGACATTATTTATCTAGTTGCACTGCTGCTATCACAGTCACATTGCTATTGTTGCTATTGGTTGGAATAGGCCTCCTTAATCAGCATTATTTTCAGTTTAATCCATTGACCATCTTCCCCTGATTTGACTAGTGGTATGTGTTCGTAACAGACGTCTTCGAAGCCGGGACGGAGTTTTAAAGAGTAAAATCTACCGGATGTCGACGATCAAAACGCGTCCATTTTGCCCATACAGCTACATCCTTTGGAGAGTATGTACAGAAATACCGTGTGTATGTGAATTATTCTTGTAGCTAACATCATTTGCTGCTTCGGCCGCGCAATTCATTCGTCCTTTCTCATTGTTTTCTCCTCTTTCCGCCATAGTTGCCGACGTTTCTTCACAGTTTTGTATGTCACAGCTATGTAACATGGTCGTTTTGGCCGCACGATTAATTACACTTTTTGGCCGCCAAATCCTACTTTCAATGCGCGAAAATCAAAACGAAAAGGAGAAAAAAAAAAAACGTCAAGGAGAACTCGCCAGGCGTTAAGGTCGATTTTTTCAAATTTTAAATATAGCCCATGAATCTGTCTTAGTCTAAAAGTACCCGAAACCATCTTGGTTTTCCGAGATGTTGTAAAATAATTTTTTTCTCAGTGAAAATCGCTTCAGCGCTCAAAGAGCCATTTTTATCAACACCGATCATCAAAAATGGCGCAAATTGAGTTACTCGTCTTTTCTCAAAACTATTAGTTTCAGAGTTTTCCACGTCACAGCTATGCAACATGATCGTTTTGGCCGTACGATTAATTAAGCACTCTTTAGCCGCCAAATCGTACTTTCAATACGCAAAGAATCGGTCAGGGATAACTTGCCAGGCGCCACTGAAGGTCAATTTTTCCACATTTCAAATACAGCTATCAAACGAGTAAAAAAATTTCATGTCATTGGCACTTTCACAGGAAGTCTTTCTAAAAGCGGTCCGATGCCGGTTCAGAAAATTGATTTCTGTCAAACTTTTCCTATGTTTAGTCTGAACCTAATCGAAACCCCCTTGGTTTTTCGAGATGTTGTGAAATTGTTTTTTCTTGAAAGAAAATCACTTCAGCGCTCAAAGACCTCTTTTTAACGGGCCGATCATCAAAAATGGCACAAGTTGAATTACTCGTCTTTTCCCAAAACTTCTGTTTGAGACATTTTTTGCTTCGCACATTTAGATCGATTCTTTGTGAGAACGTATCACATTTTTTTCTTTTTAACGGTTTTTTAAACTAAAAGTTACTTTTCAGTTTGACACCTACGTTACCTTTGCTGCCAAGACCGTAGCTATGCAACTTTTAATCTCAGCTCGGCGCTACTGATTCCAATTTCTTCTTCATGATATCTTTACTCAGACCAACTAAACTAGGGTAGAGGAGCTTTGAAATATAAAAAAATGTTGCGGTTTCGGCGAACTTCTAGTTCGGGCGGTCAACATATTATGCACAGTTTTGAAATTGCACCCAACAAGGCACGAAAAGCAGACTCAGTTTAATATTTACAAAAATTACCTCTACAACCTATGATTGGCGACTGAATTGAGCACTTCTCCATGCTTAATAATTCCATAAAACAGCATCTAGGAGAGAAAGATCACCACACCCATCTAGAAAAATGCTGTCGCCGAAAGCTGACTCTTCACTCTACGTGACTATTTTTTTTTTGTATATCACTCAGTGATGAGAAAAAAAATTATAAAAGCCAAGATAGGTATAAAAAAACAGTGATGTTAATCCAAAATAATTATTTCTATCCATTTAGACAATTTGCTTATTCCTATAACATAAAGAGCAGTCATTAATTTTTATGGGTTTGTTTAATTTCTTTTTCTTTCGTTAAATCTAGATGTTTAAAGAAGTGCGCGTGAAAATTCTGGTCAGACCAGACGACAGGCTGTTGTTAAATTTGTAAATACGCAGCATCTACAATCTATGATATATTTTCTTTTTGTATGGCTGGCAATGCTCGCGGGCAAGATGAAGCGAATCCAGTGTTCTGATTGGCTACCCGAGCGGGCAAGATGGGTCCATCTTGCCCGTACAGTATCAGCTAGTGCAATGCTTACCATAGGGGTTTCACGAGTTTTGAAATACACAGAAATGGTTTTATTACTAAAAGCACCTTTTGAGGACCACTGCCAGGAAAAGATAAAAGCAACATTCCACTCACATTTGTTTAATTGTGTGAAGTGATAACATCCTTCTTTTCAACAAGATGGGAATGGAGAAACCTCAAATAAAAAACCGCAATATAAGCTTTGTAAACGCTTTATCAGGAGGCGTTGTACTATCCTGCAAGGTTACCTTGCTTTTATCTGAGCGATACCCCAATTTCGGGACTGTAGCCCCCTTCTTTGATGCAAAAACAAGGAAGATTGGGGATATTATATCATATAAGATGTAAATGGAAGCAAAATGCGAAACAATCGAGTTTAGGTTTGTGTGTATGCATTTTCGACTCATTCACGGCACCGTCGAAACGGCGCATTAACCTTCAAATTAGATTAAATCCCGCATAATAATTTTCTCAAAAATTCTTTGGAGATGTAAAAGAACTAGTTATTTTGTGTAGCACATAGTTAAACAATCGGTTACTTTTATCCTTTTTTAATCTACTTAACATTAGGTCGGATAGATATTATAAGATTTTGTTAATGAATGGTCAAGATTTGCTAAAGTTGTTGTAAGCAAATGTTTTGATGTCGCTTTTTAAGATTTGGTAGTTTTTATTGGTCCAGGGTTTTCACTTTCTGACACTACGCTCAGCATTTTGACGAAATTCAGTTATTATCGATTTTCTCTAAAATTCATTAAATGAAGTATGCAGAGTGATTTGTTTCACCCTAAGGCCTATCTAACTTGAGATTATGAGCCAAACTGATTTTTGGCTGTTGCCACCACATTTTAAAAATGTTCGATTTTTGGCCACATTTGCTCTTGAGAGAGTGTCTTTTATTAAACCCAGTCAATTTAGCGTTAAAAATAAATTTGCTTGAAACTCTGTCAACTGAATGACTTCACTTAGGAAAGATCTAAATTATATTTGGTCTGATTCGAAATAATTTTTTGACTGCATTAGGGGCCATAATTATTTCCCCAGTCCGTAGGAACTGTCGCAACGTCTCGAAAATTAATAATAAACAGTTATTGGATGAGGTTTTAGTGATATCCGGAATAATCAAGGTCAGGGTAAGTGTTATCAGCCTCTTGAGCGCGAAACATGGCTTTAGTTCCAGTTTAGTTCACAACAACGAGTTAGAGAAGAGTGTCGATTGAAGCCGACTGCTAAAGTTTGGAGTTATTTGCTGGAGTTGTCATTAAGTTCACCATTTTGTGGAGGGAGGAATGACTGAAATTTTTACATAAACCCAAGATGCGTCGAAGGTAAATTATATTTATGACGAGACCTGCTCTTTCGGTTCGATTTCGGTGCAGGCGAAAAAATCGCAAATGCCCGTACATGTGCTATAATTCAAACGCTCATAACTTCAAGTCTAAAACGTTTAGGGGTTTTTGCATGTGTTTGCCTATAAGGTCTAAACTCTTAAGTTTAAAACGGCTGTGTAGGATAGAGTTATCAATAAGGTAGCAAATCCCAAAACTTAACGTCTAAATCACGGTTATTAACGGCAATCGGCCTTTAGCGATCTAAAGTGGTCAGAAGATGTTAGAATTCGCCTTTTCAAATATATCGAGAGGGAATTCTAACTTTCTTGGCAAAGTAGAAAGATTTTTAAGCAATCTGGTACAAATTTCGTGGCTTGACTATGCGGATCAAATATTTTCTGATGTTACAAAATATGCCTGCTGATCGATTCTCGAGACGTTGCAACGGTTCCTACGGACTAGGGAAATAATTATGGCCCCTAATGCAGTCAGAAAACTATTTCGAATCAAATCAAATATAATTTAGTTCTTTACCAAGTGAAGTCTTTCAGTTGACAGAGTTTCAGGCAACATTATTTTTGACACTAAACTGACCAAGTGGAAATAAGAGAGACAGCCTCTAAAATTGCTGACTCACATTCAGTAATTAATAGGTTTCTCAATTTACTGTTGAGGAAGAATTGCAATTTTGCCTTGTGGTTTCGAATGATGACTTTGAGGACACAACGATGACCAAGACGATACTAATGTCTGAAATCTCAATGCGTAGCAATGAAGAGCTTAGATACAAATTGCGAAGGCTTGGTTACTAAATTTAGTTTAATTCCTAAGCTCCCCGAGGAGAAAATCCACATAAAATTGACATTTTTACAGAGTTGCATTGATTACGATAAACTCTTCGATGAAAAAATGCAGTTAATTTTAAAATTGCTAAAGTTGAGATTGCTTACACTAGATCTTGCTGTTGACCTTTGCTAAAAAGGTCTCAGGTATTTACATTGTTTAATATCAAGTAGCGAAGTAGTTAACTCACGTTTCAAAGTCTTGTTTCGCGCTGTAAGCCACACCTAGATCATGTAGAGACCCCGCAGTTTCCTGACGATGCCCCAAAAGTTGTCTTCGTATCTCTACTGATTTACTGATATGTTTAATAGCGTTGTCGTAGTCACCCAAAGCGTGGTAGCTGTTACCAATCGAATTGAGTGTTGTAGCCGTAAACGGGTGGTCACCGAGGTTCGTTTCATAAACAGGAAGCACATATAGCAGCCTTATCTGGATAGCCAGCATATGCCTTCTCTGCACCATTTGAGAAGCTGTACGTAAAACAAATAAAGTTATAAACCAGAAGAGTGCAATCCCAGATCGACTCCCTATATTCAAATTAGCGCTTTTCTCTTCGGAGACCTTCACTAACCTTACTGATTCAGAGCCATTTAAGAAACCAGAGTAAAGTGAAGAAATGGCCGTTTAGCTCTCTCTACATACCAAGCTAAATCACCAATATCCCTTGCTAATTTTTGCATGACGCATACAAAATTTTGATCTTGGTATGCTTATCCTAAAAGTGCAACCTACAGGTTTCGCAACAGAGATTAAATGGAGATGATTTGATTCGGATAATTCCCTTCTCAATATTGTTCATTTGTAAATATTTCTAATGATGAAAGCAATAAGAGATGAAATTGCCACATACCAGCCAAATCATTAAAACAATCAGCCAACATGACTTCGTCTTTGCTCTTCTTGAATTCCTTTGCTTCTTCCGTTCGCAACTTCAAAGCAGTGGCGATGTAATCAAAACCCTCTTGAACGCGGCCCTCGTGAACATAACAGAATCCTAGCTTGCTCAAGCATTGGGCACGAGTGGTGTCCTTAGCGTTCGTTAGTGTGGAATGAATGTCATTTGCCTCAGTCAAATGTTCCTTTGCTTTACTCAAGGCTCTTGGACAGATGTGAGGGGTACATGTGCAGCTTAAAACTATTTGCATTCCGATGTTCGTCAAGCAAGCACTGTGGAGATGCATGTCAAAGCGGCAAAGATACACAAGCTTGCAAAAGAGCGACTGAAACTCTTGTTTGCTCATCACTTTCGCAAGAAATACAGCTGCCTTGTTGAAGGCCTTAGTGCATTGCTCCCTTACGGATTGGTGAAGCTCAGGATGATCGTCTATACACCAAGCCATGGCTTCTCGAAAGTTGTCCTTTTCAAATCTATAGCAATCAATTGCTAACTTCCAATCTTTACTTAAGAAAGTTTTGCAAAGAGTAACAGCCAAGTCACTGTAATGACGAATGAAAGTTGATTTGGCTTCTGTATGACCCGGCTTAAGTGAGCAAAAATCTTTTATGAAAGGATGAAGAGAGAAGACACATCTTGTTCTGTCGAAGCGAACAAAGTCAGTTTGCTTAAGGGAATTCAGACACGTTTGCAAATCACTTTCGACTGATGACTTAAAGACTGCTTGGATTTGCTCTGGAGTGAATGTGCACGGAAATGTGGAGGACATAACGAGAATCTTCTGGTTTCCTTGACTCAAGCGATCAAAACAAATTTGAAGACACTTGTGAATGCGATCCTCATTGGCTAGAAAATCAGCGTCTAGTTCTCTAGCAAGAGAACTTGGTGAGGATGTGGAAAGTCTTCGGGCCGCTTCCTGGGGATTTTCTCTCTTTAGAATTGCGATTACTACGCAGATTAGCAGGGGAATACCACCACAAACTCCAACAAGATCTTCGATCAGGCCTTCCTCGAGACTGTCGTCACACATTGCAAACATGGAAGCTGAATCCTTGTCATTAAGAGGTTCTAAATCAATCAGTTTAACTGGGAAATACACACTAAAATCATAGCTTTCTCTTGATGTCAGGAGAAGTTGAACATTTGGCCTTTGGCCCAAGTCTTTAAAAAACATCAGAAAATCGTTCTTCATATATCTTCCACACACTTTGGTGCTGTAATTCGTGGATTTTAACTCTTCACTTTTATCGTTGCCAACTTGATCCTCAAGATGTAGCAAGTTGTCGATGTTCTCGATAATTAACAGCAACCTCTTCTTATTCAAGGAAGATATGCGACGAAACACTTCAGTCATTGTGTTCTCACCGGGATGGAACCCCAAAGCCTCGATTATTTTTCCTTCCAAGTCCTCAACACAACTGGAACCTCGTGATTTCACGTAGGCGATTGTTTTTTCTTTTCCGATCATCCGATGAGCGACCTCTATTACCACCGACGTTTTTCCATAGCCAGGCGGTCCGACAATTTCAACAGCCTCGTTTGAAGACAGGGCGCTGATAATTTCATCACAAATATCACTGCGACCCACTAAATGTATTCGCTCTGGCAAGCATTGAAAGGGACCAGATTGTTCCTGTACTTCTGCAACTATAAATCAAATGAAAGATGACTGTCAGGCAAAGACTCAGCTTTGATAGCGAAGAATGTCTCTTGCCCACTTCTCACTGGGAAGGCAGTAGCAGTAGACAGATTGAGATCATGAACACCAGGTTGGTACAAAAAAAAAAAGGAAGGGGGGGGTTGGGAGGAAGTTGCTGCTATTACTGTTTTGTTATCTCGCTACCGTTGTGTAAAAGATAAAACCAAGAAGTATACCCAAGTCTCATTAAGGATCAGTTTCGCTCAGATTACTTTTTGATGAGATTTATGTTTCCAGTGCGTTATCTCAACCCACGAACACTACAAGAATTAAAGAGAAGGACAGACAGGCGAGGCCAATCATCCAGCTGTCATTTTTTAAACGCGTGTCAGTGAGAAAACTATGGAACAAGACATATAAACCAAGCATTTTCCATTGACATCTAATTTGGATTAAGGCTTCCCTTCTTACCATGCGTAGGAGGGGAACTACGCTTTTCTTTCCTGGAGCTAGATTGATGTTTTGGATCTGGTATGCTTAAGCTGCTCCGAATTGAACACTCAAACTCTTGTAAAACTGAGTCTAAAACAAAAGCCATATATACACAGTCAGAGATTAACTATCAAGTAGTTATTTTATTTTCTTTCGTGTTAACAGCATTTGCACAATGCACATAAGAGATCACACCATATAAAACAACAAAAATAATACGTATGGAAACGCAAAGCTGATGCTAAAGTAACAAAAAGAAAGAGGAAGTTTGGACAGGAATGACAAACACCACATTGTCAAGAATCCCGAAGCACCTCTATTAGCTGGCGTTACTTACCAATTGCGTCTGGAAAATGCCTTGATATTATCTGTATGGCGTCATTTCGCTGGATCTCATCAAGCGCCTTTGCTACATAACTTAGGGTTTTTTCAGGGAATCGAGCGGCCACCCATTCTAAGATCTCTTTGGTAGGACTTTTCCTCCTTTGTTTGATATCAGATAACTCTCGACGCACGTCAGCTGGTACTTCAAACTGACAGGCCAGATGTACACAGTTTTTGACGCCGATGTTGTCATCTCGATTAAGATCTTGCGATATCCTCTCTAAGAATTCCGATCCAGGGGTAATGAGATCCTTAAGTAATACGTCATCTGCAGAAAAGAAAATATGTCCATGAATTGAATCGTTGTTTGTTAACTTCCTGCGAAGAGGCCTCAGTGAAGAGGTAACTTTCGCCCGATTGATTCTTGAAGTACTCATGCAGCCAATAATAGCATACAAGGCTCTCCATACGAACAACGAATAAACGGAATCTAACCTTTCAAAGATAGCATTCAACTTGAAAACTTTATAAATAAAAGAAAAAAATCTAGGGACTGATGATATTAAGCTCAGTTGTAATCGAGAAACATCTCGTGTATTCTTCATCGTTTTGGGTCACGTTATGTTATAATGCATCCTCGGAGACCCTGAGGCTGTGGGTCGATTTCAAGTTAGGGCATGAAGAACCCCTGGGGACATTGTCTTACAAGATTGGTTCCAAACGGTCGCAGTCGTTCTGCCATCTGATTGGTGCCAGAAAATCTTTGTGTTTTTCTGCCCAGTCAGAGTGAAGTGTACTTTAGAGTCCTTTCGTGTGTTTTAACACGGACATAGACTAATAGCTCAGTTGCTCGCTGTTTGTTTGGGCCGTGTGACGGAGATTTGCCTGAGGTGAAAAGTTTCAGTCTCAGC